GGGGGGGGGGTGCCAGACTGCGGAGGAGCAGGCCTGGGGTCTTGGAGCGTGCCCCGGGGTCGCGTGGGTGGCCAGCTGGCCCACAGGGGAGACGGTGAGCTGCACCGCGATTGACGCTGTGCCCTGTCGCCCGCAGGTGAGAGGCCCTTCGCCTGCAGCTGGCAGGACTGCAGCAAGAAGTTCGCGCGCTCAGACGAGCTTGCGCGGCACTACCGCACACACACGGGCGAGAAGAAGTTCAGCTGCCCCATCTGCGACAAGCGCTTCATGCGTAGCGACCATCTGACCAAGCACGCACGTCGCCATGCCAACTTCCACCCCGGCATGCTGCAGCGGCGCGGCGGCGGCTCGCGCACCGGCTCGCTCAGCGACTACAGCCGCTCAGACGCCAGCAGCCCCACCATCAGCCCTGCCAGCTCGCCCTGAGCTTCCCCTGCTCGCCCCCACAGCAGCACAGCCCCCCCCTCCACGCCCTTCCCTGTCCTGTGGGCCCCAGGCCCGGGCTCCCCATCGTCCCCACTACAGCCATGAGCTCTCACTTCTCCTGACCCCGCATCTTTTCCTTTCATAACAGGAAAGAAGAGAGAGAACTTTGCCGTCCACAACAACCCCCCCGACCCCCAATTTTCTTCACCTCAGGTGTCAAACTCAATTTGTAAAAAAACAACAAAAAAATTCAAAAAACACCATCCACAAATTGCACAATAGACACACCCAGGACGGTGAGGTTCAGCGGTGTCACCCCCTTTCTCAGGGATGGACATGGTCCAGGAGGTCAGTGCGGACACCCTCCCTGCCGCCTTACTCTGTACATAGATTTGCACTCTGGAGCTTTCTGCTGGGTTCGGGACACACTGGGACAAAGCAGGGGAAGCAGTGCAGGCGGACGTCGGCGTCCAGCTGGCAGGCCAGTCCGTTGGTCAGTTGGGAGTGGACACGGTCACTGACCCTTGTCTTTCGGGGGCCTGCACGTCCTTGCTGCCACCGCCCAGCCTCCAGCCCCTGCTCCGGCGGCCGGCTGGGGTCAGGACGCAGACGGGTCTGAGGGGATGCCTTAAGACGAGCGAGGAAGCGGAGCCAGCCCCCGGAGGACCGCCTGGCTGCCCCTGCCACCAGGAGCCCGGATTGGGAGACCACTGCACCATCGACACGCGATGTGACAGTGCCCAGGTCACACTCGCTGGCCCTCGTCCCCCCTTTCCTGCCCCCAGGTACGTGCCCATACAGAGATGCCTGCCATTGTGTCCCTGCAGAAGGCACCGGGGACCTTTCACTAGTATACCATGTCCTCTGGAGCAGAGCCCAGGAGTTCTAGTCTTCAACAGAGATGTCCCAAAGTGTCACCGAGGCATCCAGTTCCCTTTTCTCTGCCACTGGTCCTGCTATCTGCTATCAGGACACCTTTGTTTGAACTGGTGGGTAGAGGTGTTGGGCCACCTTGCCAGAGGCTCCGTGTGTGACGGGGCGTGTGGCCGTCCCTTGCAGAGACTGATCCATGGCAGGAGACTGAAACATGGTGACTGGAACTTTCCAGGAGTGGTGAAGTGGGTGTTAGGGGACATTCTGTCAGAGAATGCGCGTTCCGTCTCCTCCCCAGGGAGCACCAGACCCCCTGTGCCCCAGCTCAGAATGAGCACACCTCCAGCCCTGCGTCCCTACCCAGCCCACACCCTGCCTGAGGCGTCTGCTGGAGAGGAGGAAGAGAGAGCAGGCATTTCTCCCCAGCCCCGGCCTGCGCTGGCTTGGGGTCCAAGTCCTGGCAGGTCAGTCAGGCCAGGCTCCTGCACGCTCCCTGTCTGCAGACAACGGGGGTGTCCTCCCAGCACTGCTGCCCAGGCACCACCCTTCCCTTCCCCAGAGAGTTGGTGCCTGTAAATACAAGCCCCCAGTACTGTGTGTGTGCGCGTGTGTGTGTGTGTACGTACGTACGTGTGTGTGTTGGGGCGGACTTGAGTATCTGCCGAGAGTTCTGCCCATTTTGATGAGGGATGGCCCGTGGGACCTCAGAGGGCCGTCGATGGCCTTCCTGGGCCCAGAGTGCCTTGGTGTGGCCACCCTGCTCCCACCCCACCCTCTCACAGTGTGAGGTGCAGCCCTCAACCCCAGCAACCCAGGCCTGGCTGGTGCTCACATCGCGGCCCATGGCTGCTGCTTCGGGCCAGCTCCAGAGTGGACGGGCGCCCTCTGTCCGTAGCAACTACCAGGGTGGCATCCTGCCGTATGTAACACCCTGGGTGTCCGTATCTAACTACTGTGTGTCAGCTGGGATTGGCCAGTGCTTGGTAGTGGCTCCTGAGTAGCGTGATAAGTACCAAGTTTGGCCGCAGTGATGTTTTGGCTGTGGGTGGTCCCCGCCCTGGTCGGGGTGCAGAGCTGGCCCCCCTGGCCGCCGGGCTCCGCTCGGGCTGCATGACGGCCCTTCCTGTGTTGGATCCGGAGAGAGTGGACTGTGTCGTGGGGGCCTGGACAGAAGGGCGCCCCGGTGCTGGGGGTGCCCAGCTCCAGTGTGAGGCTAAGAAAGCCACACTGAATACATGTCATGTCTCAGGAACTCACATTCCAGGTTTAGGAATTTTATTCCAAAGTCCTTTGGTGTGCTTACCGTCCAGGGGTTCCCCGGAGGCAGGGACGGTCGCACAATGCCGTCCCCTGGAGGAGCCCGGAGGCGTTGGGACGGAGGGTTTCTCTCCCAGTCTGTCTGCACATAGGAAGGGGAAGGACTCTAAACCCAGTCATCTTGGAATAAGAGAAGAGCTGGTTTGTTTTTGAGGCGGGNTAGGCTACGGAGCTCCTCCCTTCAGGGTTCTGGAATCAGGGGTCAGGTTTCCCTTCCCAGAAAGCCAGTGTCACTTCTGAGCTAGATCGAGCCCTCTCCTGTGGCAGACCTTTGATTCTGTTGCTGTCTCCTTGTCACATGCCCTGGGGGCTGTTCCCTCCAGCAGGCTGACTGTCTGTAGGGCTCGGACCTGCTGGCCCCCACCCGACTTCGAGTGCACTGCTCTCATCTCTCAGCCCAGCCACACCACCCTGGGGTCAGTCCTAGAGGCACGGGGCAGCTGCAGGTACCTGAGACCTTTTCGGGCCAGGAGGTCAAGACTGTTTTCACAATAACATTGTTTGTCCTCCTTCTGTGAGAAGAACACAGCAGGATGTCCCCGGGGCTGCATGATGTGTCTGACGCATCCCTTTGACAGCTATGGGAATAAAGCGTGCTTCAGTTTACGTTTTTTTCTTCAGCTCTAATGTCTACACAGTGAACATCGATGCACATGAGCCCCACTAACAGAAGCTCCTTGGGTCTCTCACTACGAGTCTGACGAGTGCTGTCCCCTTGCCCGGGCCGCCTTTCCCCCACCTGTTCTTTTTGATTATCCTGGGTGCCACCTGAACGTCACCACTCAGAGGCCAGCCCGGCCAGACCCCGGTGCTGCTCCGTGCCAGCATGAATCATAACTTCTAATTGTTTTCTCCGCCTATCTGTGGACCAGTGCATTGGCCGTCTCCCCTCCTGGGACAGGCTGACAGAGGTGGAGAGAATGGAGCAGGGAGGGCCCTGTCTGTCTGTGTCACAACCATGGCCCCAGGGCCAGTCATCAGGTTCGTGCTCAAGTGTTGAGCTGCTGATGACTGCACGAGCCGAGAGCTGTGTGCTGGCCCCGTGGTGACACTGGGCTTTCCCCATCTCCCTCTCCAGGCGGCCTGGCACCAGCACCCCATCCTGTGGGGTGTTGTGGTTCTCTGCAGCCCGCCATCACGTAATACCCACCTCCTATGCCTCCCAGAGGTGCAGGCAGAGGGACCAAGAAAAGCATAAGCCCCCAGCAAGGGCCTAGGGCTTATTAGGGCGAGGGTGAGTCTGAATTTTGGTCGTTCCTCCTCTGCCTGCCCCAGCCCCAAATCTCAGCAGACGTAGTTGGCGAGAGTACTGGATAAGAGCACCACTAGCTAGCATTTCAGGAGTAAGCATGTGGGGAGGGCCAGGCAGTGTGTGCAGCCCCCTGTGGACCCCACTGTGAGGCTGGGCAGTGTAGTCCTTTCCTGGGGCTGTCACAACAAATGACCACAAACTGGGTGGCTTAAAACAACAGAAATGTCCTCTCACTGTTGGGAGAGTAAGCGGTCTGTAATCAGGGTGTCGGCAGTTAGGTGCTTTGGAAGGTTCTGAGGGGGAGTCCATTCCATGCGTCTTTCCTGGCTTCTGGTGGTTACCCACAATCCTTAGGGTCCCTGGGCTTGAACACATCACTGCAGTCTGTCATCACATGGTTGTCCCTTCTCTGTGTCCTTTCCCCTTCTCTCTAAGGACACTTGTGGTCTCATCTCAAGGGCCTTACCTTAGTTATATCTGTAAAGATCCATTGGCCAAATAAAGACACATTCAGAGGTTTGAAGGGTCAGGACTGGGACACGCCTCTTGGGGGCCCACTGTTGACCCCACTGCAGGTACCGAGAGGCTTGTCTGAGGCCACGCCGTCACCCACTGTGTGGCACAGTCTGAGCCTCATCTGTCGGACTTTGACACCCCCAAGCTTTTTAACTCAGCACCTGGTCACACGAAATGAAACTGTTCTTTTTTTTTTTTTAAAGGTTTTATTGGGGAAGGGGAACAGCCAAGTTGTTGTCCTTCAATCTTAGTTGTGGAGGGCGCAGCTAGCTCAGCTCCAAGTCCAGTTGCCATCAGGCCACCCGTCAGCAGCTTGCGGCATCTTAGCTCAAGGTGCTGTGTTCAATCTTAGTTGCGGGTGGGCATAGCCCACCATCCCATGCGGGAGTTAAACCAGAAACCTTGTTGTTAGGAGCATGTGGTCTCATCAGCTGAGCCATCCTGCCACCTGTTGGCAGCTCAGCGGCAGCTCAGCTCGGGCGCAGCTCACCAGCCCATGTGGGAATTGAACCTGCGACCCTGTTGCCAAACTCACACTCCTAACCAACTGAGCCACTCGGCCAGCCCAGAAACTGTTCTTTTTTAATGCTGGGTCTTTCATCTAATAACAGAGTGTGCTGTGACTCTCCTTAGGGTGGCGTTAGCCTGCCACATTTCTCAAACGTTTTTGTTGACAAACTTCCCCCCCACCCCCAGACCAATGAGCAATGTATTCAACTCTAACATTTCTTGGACATGGCTTGGGAATGTCAGGCTAGATATTTAAAGAATTACATTTAAACATCCCTTTTTATTGTTACCAAAAAAATAAATGTATATGATTTTTTAAAAGACACATAACAGAATAGCTTACAACACACACACAAAAGCCTCTTCACCGTCCAGCCTCACCCCCCAGAGACCACCAGTCCCTGATTTTTGTTGTCTCGGTGGATACTGCCATAAACAAACTATATGATTTTACTGCTGTTTCTTGATTTATCCAAGTTAGATTTTTATCTATTACCTTCCTGCCGTGAAATTTAAGGATTTACCTTATCCCTGGCGCTTCCCTCAACCTCCTCCTGAATTGATGGACATATTACTTAAATTCTCTTGTTGATGACCCTTTAACCTCTTTAGTGGTTGCCTTTGCACGCGTGTGTTCCTCCTTTCCCCTTAGATCAGCGGTTCTCAACCTGTGGGTCGTGACCCCTTTGGGGGTCGAACGACCCTTTCACAGGGGTCGCCGGGGTACTCGTATGTGGGCGTATCTGCATGTGGGCCTGGAGACGGATAGAGGAGCGGTGTCTCGGTTCCTAAGACCATCAAAAATATGTGTTTTCCGATGGTCTTAGGCGACCCCTGTGAAAGGTTGAGAACCGCTGCCTTAGATCCATGCTGTCTTCTGGGGCTATGAGTCAGTTGTATGGGCTTTGTAAGATCGATTCTAAACGCTGGCAACTAGTGGTAGACTCATGTGACCAGGGCTATGTTGATTCCTTCCTGGTGCCAGGGCCTCTGCCGACATTCCAGTCCCTTCTCCCTCCTCATGGGGTCCTTGTGAGGGACAAATAACATACGAAAGAACAGAGCTGGGCTCAGAGCTCTCCTCTGATTTCTTGGAAGTGTGGCATTTTAGTTTGCTTCAGTAGAGAGCAGAGTTTTCTTGCACGTCTTCTGTTTTTCCTGGAGTTTCTCATTGCCTTCCCTTACACCCCCCCCCCCCTTTTCCCTAGTATGTGCCTTCACTGTGTCCTGAAGTTTATTCAGCTTCTTGATCATACTGTCTGGTCCATGGGACTTGCTTTCTTCTTGGAGCCCTGCCCTCTGCTCCACTGTGTCCCTCCCCGCCCCCCCCCTTCACTCTTGCCCTGAGACACCCCTTCGTTGTTCACTCACTTCCCTGTCTTGTCAGTTTTTTCTCATTTTTGCTGGAGTGTGAGGTGAACTGTTGCTCTGTCATCTAGCATCCAGTGTGACTTAGGACAAATCTGGGGTCTGTCCCAGCCTTTTCCCCCCATGGTTTTTCCCATCGCGGTGACATTTTGTAATCTCTTTTTACCCAGTGAGTGATCTGACGTTGAAGAAATTCTCAAAGCAAGAGCCTTTTACTCAGTACCCCGCCTACCTCTGTTAGTTTGCTGTCTCCTTCTATTTTTACTCTGCCAGACACTGTTTTATTGTTTCTTTGGTAATTTCCTCTCCTCCATTTTATCTACTAGTTTACTGTGCCTCCTGTTAGTTGCACCCCCTGGATTGATCCCCAGTGACTCTGAACTTGTACCTCCTACTGTTTTTAACTATCAGATGCATTTGGGAAACTGTGGTTTGCTCACCTGTTTCATTTTGAGTCGTCCCCCCCACTCCCTTCACCCAAAACATAAAATCACTAGGACAGCAAATACACACAGCCCCCCACTCCAGTGCCGCCAAAAGAGAAAGAACACTGTGACATTCACGTCTTTTCTAGAGCTGTTTTTCTGTTCTGTTTTTCTGGGATATTTCCTTGAGTGTATTTCCAGCTTTTCTATGGAATTTTTGTGAGGGCAATGTTACTCTCCATTTCCGAACACTATTTTTTGTTCTCTGAACTTCCTTTTTATGGTATCCTGTTTGCTTTATGCATGAAATTTTGTCTGCAGTTTCTCCGAGAATGCTAATTAGAATTTTTAGGTGAACGTTCTCTTCTGTTTCCTGGCTTCCTTCTTTTTCCTCCGGAGTCCGTGGTTTTGTGGCTCTTGGCCCTTCGCTTTCATGCTGCTGGTTTTCCTTGGCCATCTGGCCATCCTTGGGTGTCTGTTTATATTTAAGGTTGATGGGCTCATTAGGGGTGGGTGGCGTGGATTTCCTCTGCTGGGCACAGGTGGGCCAGCTTCAAGGACTGGCTGTCTGGAGTGGGGTGGGAGGGAGGAGACAGGGCAGGAAGGAAAGGTGGCTGCGTGGCTATTGCGTCCTGGGGTGCCAGAGCCCCCCTGCTGGTTCTCCTGAGCACTTGGTGTTGTGGCTCAGAGTTAGCCTGGGTAAATGCAGGCCTGTCCCTTGTTCTGACCAAGGGATGGGAGGGAGGGGGCGGGGTCCTGACCCTAGCTGACCTTTGTCACCTCCCTCTCGCTGGGTGTTCTGGGCAGCCGGCCTAGTCTATCCCCACGCTTGCGTCTGCAGGATCCTGCTCTGCTGGCAGTTGCCATTTGGCCACGTTGGGACTTCTCTGTGGGAAAGAGCTGCAAACTCTAGTTGGAGCCTTTCGAGGTGAACCAGGCAGGCCTCTTGGTCACAGGCTCTCAGGCCCTGAAAATTGCCGGATCTGATCCCCTCATGTTACAGACAAGGCGGCTGAGGAAGGTCCGGATGGCAGCAGGGTGCTCTAGCTTGGTCTCCAGGCCCTGCAGGGGTGCGGGTTTCT